AGATTTTGGAGGGAAAACCAAAACAAGATGAGAGAGAATCAAAATACACCAGACTCCCGAAAGGCACATCTTGGGCATGCATCAGGGTTGGACTGGAGCCGGGAAAGTGAGGGTGCCGGGTTACTCCACAAGCAGCCTGAATGGAGACCTTTTTCCTTGTGTGATCACACCGCTAGATCCTTAGAAAGAAGGGTTAATGTGCTTCATTGACAAAGGGGGGAAGTGAGCTCAAACGTTCCTTGGAAACATCAGTAGGACCCTCCAGGGCCTCTCCGCAGACTTTCCATTGCTTTCTTGCTCTTTTCTTCTTCCAGGCCATCCATCGAGAGCAAAGGCTTCACCCCATGAAAGAGAACTTCTACAGCCGGGCATTCTGGGCAACAACAGCTGCATCATCGGCAAAGAGCCAGTCCTGCATGCATTTCAGCTGGACTTTGCTTTCCGCTCTCAATCTAGAAACATTAAAGAGCCTTCCATCTGATCTAGTCCAGAGATAGACACCTTCTCTTGCAGTTCCAAAAGCATGCTTCAGCGTGACAGCAAAAAAGATCCCAAACAGAGTCGATACAAGGACACGGTCCTGTTTCACTCCACTTTAGATGTCAAAGAGATCTGATGTTGAGCCATCAAAAACTCCAATGCCCTTCATTTCCTCATGAAAGGACTCGATGATGTTAAGGAGTTGAGGTGGACAGATTTCATACAGCTCAGTGGTGATGATCTCTTTACAGTACTTCAGCACTTCAACAGGGATGTTATCCTTGCCAGGTACCTCGCTGGAGGTGAGAAAGGAAAGGGGGAGGAAAGGAATTTAGATAGGGATGGAAAAGGAAAGGGGGAGGAAAGGAGTTTAGATAGGGGTGGGAAAGGAAATGGGAAGAAAGGAGTTTAGATAGGGGTGGGAAAGGAAAGGGGGAAGAAAGGAGCTTACATAGGGGTGGGAAAGGAAAGGGAGTGGAAAGGAGTTTAGATAGGGATGGAAAAGGAAAGGGGGAGGAAAGGAATTTAGATAGGGGTGGGAAAGGAAAGGGGGAGGATAGATAGGGATGGAAAAGGACTGCTCCATCCATAGGGATGGAAAAGAAGTGCACCTTGGAAAAGGTGGTGGGCTGCTCTGTTGCTGTTTGTTGGATAGTTGTGGGAACAGCTTTTGTCCTTTTCAGAAGATAGGGTGATGATGGTGATCAGCGTGTTTTTGTTGTGGATGTATTGTTGTGATAAGGGGGAGAGATTACCTGTCACTGTGATTGATGGGTGTCTTTAGCTGGTCTTTTTTGTGCAATGATCCCTGGTCCTTGTGGCTGGGGAGAGTTCATTGACCTTCTGCTGGCTGTATTTTTCAATGCTGGCAGCCAGGTCTTGTTAAGTTTTAGACTTTTCTCTTTTTTTGTTGAAGCTCTGCTGGTGTTTATGGATTTCAATGGCTTACCTGTGCAGTCTAACATAATGGTTGCGGGTGTTGTCCAGTACTTCAGTATTTTGACATAGCATTTCATGTCCAGCTTGTTTTAGGGCATGCTCAGCTACTGCTGATTTTTCCAGTTGTTTTAGTCTGCAGCGTCTCTCATGTTCTTTGATTCTGTTGTGAATGCTGCGTTTAGTGGTTCCAATATATACCTGTCCATAACTGCAAGTTATCTGGTATACTCCTGCAGTGGTGAGGGGGTCCCTTTTGTCCTTTGCTGACCGTAACATTTGTTATATTTTTGAGGTGGGTCTGACTACTGTTTGTAGGTTGTGTTTTTTCAAAAGTTTCCCCATGCGATCCGTGACCCCTTTGATGTATGGCAGAAATACTTTATTTGTGGGTGGATGCTTTTCCTCTTCAGTTTGGTGTTGTTTTCTTGCTTTGATGGCTCTTTTGATTTCATTCTTGGAATAGCCATTCGGCTGTAGGGCCCAATTCAGATGGTTAAGTTTGGTGCTGAGAAATTGAGCTTCACAGTTCTGATTTGCACAGTCTACCAGAGTTTTGATTATGCCTCTTTTTGTCGTGGGTGGTGGTTGGAGTTTTTGTGTAGGTCTGTGTGGGAGGGTTTTCTGTAGACCTTGTGTCCCAATAGGAGGTCAGTTTTGTGTATGACCACGACATCTAAGAAAGGGAGTTGGCCCTCTGTTTCTTTTTCCATGGTGAATTGTATATTTGGGTGGATGCTGTTAAGATGGTTTAGAAATTCTTCCAGTTTTTCTTCATCGTGGTTCCAAATTGCAAAGGTGTCATCCACGTATCGGAACCAGACTGTGGGTGTGAGGGGTGGCAAAGGCAGGGCCTGTTTTTAGAAATGTTCCAAGTAGAAGTTTGCTATAACAAGGCTGAGGGGGCTCATAGAACTCGTTATTCCATTAAAAGTAGCTGGCTGTTTGGCAGTGTTCGAAAAGGGCCTTGATGTCTCCTCCAGGTGATCTATCCAGAAGACATCAAGCCGCTTTTCAAACACTGCCTAACAACCAGCTACTTTCAGTGGGATAACAAGTTCTATGAACAGACAGATGGAGTGGCCATGGGGTGCCCCCTCAGCCCAGTTAGAGCAAACTTCTACATGGAACATTTTGAAAAACAGGTCCTTATCACAACAATACATCCACAACAACCAAAAAAAAAAAAAACACTGAACACCATCATCAACCTATCTCCTGAAAAGAATAAAAGCTGTTTCCACAGCTATAAATACTCAACTATCCAATAAACAGCAACAGAGCAGTCCACCACCTTTTCCAAGGTGCAGTCCCCCTTTCCTTTTCCATCTCTATCTAAACTCCCTTCCTCCCCCTTTCCTTTCCTTTCCCACCCCTGCCCATGCTCTGTTGAGCATGGACAGAGTTCCTACTCCAGTCCTCTGAAGATGCCGGCCACAGAGACTGGTGAAACGTCAGGAAGAACAACCTTCAGAACACGGCCAAAGAGCCCATAAAACCCACAACAACCATATTACTCAATATTTAGAAATCTGATCCATTTGTAAACTTTATAAAGAAAAGTCTAATAATCATATCAATGAAAAAGAAAAGGGGAAAGAGGATGGAGATGGTTTAAGCCAGGAGCTTTTCTCTTCTGATCCCAAGGTAGACCAGATTAGTCCCCATCCTATAACCTGTCCTCGTGTTCCTCGGAAATGGACCTCCAGAGTGAAGCCCTAAAATTCAGCCACATTAAAATCAAAATTCTGCCATCAAAAAAGAAAGGATGAAGACATCCTGTGATCTGTCCTCACTTTTCCCAGAAACAGATCTGCAGGGTGGAGCATCATAAGACAACCACTATCCAAAACCAATATTCTGCTGTCAACAAGGAAAAGGTGAAGGCGTTCAAATATCTGTTGTCATTTTGATCTCTGGGATCAATCCCCCTAATTGCAGCCAGTATCTGATGCTTTTAAGGTGCTACATTCAATATGCCAACAAGTTTGGAAAACTCAACAGTGGCCAGAGGACTGGAAAAGATCAGTCTACATCCCAATACCAAAGAAGGGCAGTGCCAAAGAATGCTCCAACTACCGGAACATTGCACTCATCTCACACGCCAGCAAGGTTATGCTCAAAATCATACAAGGCAGGCTTCAGCAGTATGTGGACCGAGAACTCCCAGAAGTACAAGCTGGATTCCGAAGAGGTAGAGGAACTCGAGACCAAATTGCTAACTTGCGCTGGATTATGGAGAAAGCCAGAGAGTTCCAGAAAAATATCTACTTCTGCTTCATTGACTATGCAAAAGCCTTTGACTGTGTGGACCACAGGAAACTATGGCAAGTCCTAAAAGAAATGGGCGTGCCTGACCACCTTATCCATCTCCTGAGAAACCTATATGTGGGACAGGAAGCAACAGTTAGAACTGGATATGGAACAACGGATTGGTTCAAAATTGGGAAAGGAGTACGACAAGGCTGTATATTGTCACCCTGCTTATTTAACTTATATGCAGAATACATCATGCGGAAGGCTGGACTGGAGGAATCCCAAGCCGGAATTAAGATTGCCGGAAGAAATATCAACAACCTCCGATATGCAGATGATACCACTCTGATGGCGGAAAGTGAGGAGGAACTAAAGAACCTTGTAATGAGGGTGAAAGAGGAGAGTGCAAAAAACGGTCTGAAACTCAACATCAAAAAAACTAAGATCATGGCCACTGGTCCCATCACCTCCTGGGAAATAGAAGGGGAAGATATGGAGGCAGTGACAGATTTTACTTTCTTGGGCTCCATGATCACTGCAGATGGAGACAGCAGCCCCGAAATTAAAAGACGCCTGCTTCTTGGGAGGAAAGGAATGACAAACCTTGACAGCATCTTAAAAAGCAGAGACATCACCTTGCCAACAAAAGTCCGAATAGTCAAAGCTATGGTTTTTCCTGTAGTGTTGTATGGAAGTGAGAGCTGGATCATAAAGAAAGCTGACCGCCGAAGAATTGATGCCTTTGAATTGTGGTGCTGGAGGAGACTCTTGAGAGTTCCCTGGACTGCAAAGAGAACAAACCTATCAATTCTAAAGGAAATCAACCCCGAGTGCTCATTGGAAGGACAGATCCTGAAGCTGAGGCTCCAGTACTTTGGCTATCTCATGAGAAGAGAAGACTCCTTGGAAAAGACTTTGATGTTGGGAAAGTGTGAAGGCAAGAGGAGAAGGGGACGACCGAGGATGAGATGGTTGGACAGTGTCATCGAAGCAACCAACATGAATTTGACACAACTCCGGGAGGCGGTGGAAGATAGGAGGGCCTGGCGTGCTCTGGTCCATGGGGTCACGAAGAGTCGGACATGACTAAACGACTGAACAAACAAATCTGAAAAGGAAAATCCTTTCTCAAGGAGCAGGAGAAGAATTCAGTCCACAATTGAATTGTGAATTCCCCCCCCCCCGTTACTCACAGGAAGAGACTGTGGGTTGAAGCCAGTATCTGAGAAATTATTATCTGATCCTGCAGCCAGGACCTGGGATGAAGGGGAAACCCTCTAAACAAGGAAGAGAAGGAGGCACCCCACCAACGGTCCCCATTATTCCCTGCAAGAGAGCCCAAGTGCAGCCAGGATCTGAAAAGCAACCTTCCTCTCAGTAAAAGACTTCCTGGGTGAAGCCCCCACTTTCAGCCCCTCTCTGAAACAAAGATCCCCTCTGAATGCAGAGAAAAAGAAGACCTGGTACGAACAGACTCTGTCCTTCTGAGCCAAAGACCTCCAGGATGAAGCCCCTAATTGGACCCGGTATTTGAAAACGGGATCCCCTCTCCAGTCAGAGGAGAAGAGGCCATCGTATAAACTGTTCCCGTGATTCCCAGCGGGAGACCTTCAAGGTAAACCCCTCACTTGCAGCTCATCTCTCAAAAATACAGTGGTGCCTTGCAAGACGAATTTAATTCGTTCCGCGGTTAATGTTGTCTTGCGAAAA